AACGAGTCAAGCTCAAGCTCTAATATTAAGCTCGTTTAGTAAACAAGTCGAGTTCGAGTTCGAATTCGCATAAACTCGGCTCGCCATTCTCTGCTCGTTTATCTTTATTTAAATTATATAATAAATATGTTATTTAAATATTTCTATTTAAATAATATAAATAATATTAAAAAAAATTATCGAATCAAGTTGAGCCAAGTTCGAGTTTCATTAATATTAACAAGTTGAGCCAAACTCGAGCTCAATTTCTTATCGAACCGAACTTGAGCTTAATAAACGAGCTCGATAAGTAAATGAGCCAAGCTCAGCTCGACTCAGTTCATTTGCAACCCTAATCCAATTTGGTACCAGACATACCTATCCAGTTTCTTGGTCAAGTTTGGTATTTCAACGATTACTAATCCAGCAGCTTAAATATCCTTTTATGAAGTGAGTACTGAAGAGTGGTTGCTCGGTGTAGACACCCCATTTTTGACCGACCTTAAGACTCAGACGTCACTGATTGAGCGCTCGGTGATATTGCATATCGTGCTCGTTCAGAAGTTTCAGAGTCTCGGCTGCGAGCCTTGTCTCCGGACTTCCGGACTCTTTCGTGTCTTGCCTCGGTTTGCGAACCAAGCTCTGTTTTCTCTGTTTTCTCTTCCCAAAGGGAGGGAGAGGTCTCGTAGATCATCTCTTAGTGGCCGTAGGCTACGTTTTGTGGTCGTAGGCCATTTTTTCCGTTTGGAGCCCGGTTTCCGATTTTTTGGAGCTGACGGCCATGTGCCTCGGTTCGGGACCACCTAACCACCTCTGTTTGCTCCGGTTTTTGGCATACACCTTATTTCCTCCCTTTTGAGGGACACTGGGGTCCGAGAGACCAACTTCGTGGTCGAACACCACCTCCGGTACTTAAACAGCCCATTTTCGGGCCTCGGGCCGCGCGTTTCGGCCCCCGAACCTCCATTTTGCATCCGTTTTGGTTCATTTTTCGTGGAGACCTTATTTTCATAGTTAGGAAGCTTGTAGGAGGGTGGGAGGCCAGCAATTGTTCTGAAAAATCAGCTTTATTCCTTCATCGCTCTCTCACGTCCGTTTTCCTCACTTAAAAGCCAATGTTGACCACCCCGGGGCCACTTTCTTGAACCCTAAACCCCATATTTGTGTTGTACACACCTGGGAGGCCACCAATATTTGGTGGCCGACCAGTAATTGTGCCTGACCCTTTTGACCCCCCTAAAAAATGGTCTTTTCTCTCTCATTGTTCACTTTTTTTGGATTTCAACCACATAGTTGTGTTGTGCACACATGGGAGACCACCTTTTTGAGGTGGCCGACCAGTAATTATGCTTGACCCCTTTAGCCCTTGGTCGGCCGGCCATGGGAGGTGGTCGGCCGGCCACCTGAACCCTCAAAACCTGGCCGGCCATGACCCCCACACCCTGTTCCTTCCAGCTGCACCCTCTGTTTCCCCCCAGATCCTGTATCCGATGGGGGGTCTTTTGGGGGGGGGGGAAACTTGAATTTGATTTCCCCCCCCCCTTTTTCCTCCATTCCTTTGCCTATATAACCAGCCCTCGGCTGCATTTTGAGGGGTTACAAAAATTGTTTTAAGGCTCTTGCATTCATCCTCCCCCTTCTCTCTACTCCAAGCACCAAAACACCCTTAACCCTACACCATTTACCCTACACCTCATAGCACAAGGCCTCCATCCTCCATTCCAGCAACTTGAGGCTGCTTTCTAGAGGTAAAGAACTCCCAAACTTGGCCCAAAAGTTGTTGAAGCATTGGTCTACAAGGGTGAGTCCCATTTTCTCTCTTTTGTGCCTTATTTTGCTTTGTATCTAAGCCATACTTGCTTGCATTTTTGGGCTCCAACCCAAACTGTAAATAGTCATATTTTGAGCCCCTTTTCATGTTTTATTAAGGGTCTTTCTCTGTTTGAGACCTCCAGCTATCACTTGCCTCTTTAACTCTCTTTTAGGCCTTTTTTTGCATAGTATTTTAGGCCTATTTCTAAGTTGTTTTGGACTTTTTCATAAACTGTAAAATAGCTTGTTTTGAGCCCCTCTTCAACATTGTTGAAGGGCTCTCCTCTGTTTGAGGCCTCCTTCTATCACTTGCTTCTTTATCTCTCTTTTAGGCCAATTTTTGCATAGTATTTTAGGCCTATTTGTGAGCTGTTTTGGATCTTGTCATAAACTATGAAATATCTTGTTTTGAGCCCCTCTTCAACATTGTTGAAGGGCTCTCCTCTGTTTGAGAATAGAAGCTGCCACTTGTCTCTTTATCCCTATTTTAGGCCTTTTCTTGCATGATAATTTGGCCATATCTTTGATTATTTTCGAGGCTTGATGTAAACTATAAAGTGCCCTTTTTTGAGCCCCTATTCAACTTTGTTGAAGGGATCTTTGCCATTTGGGGCCAGATGCTGTCCCTTTGTGTTTAATCTCTATTTTAGGTCCATTTTTGCATGATAGATTAATCCTATTTGTGTTCATTTTTGAGGCTTGTTATAAACTGGAAATATGCATGTTTTGGGACCGTCTTGCATCTGTCTTCATGCTTCATGACAAAATAATGCATGTTTTGTATAGCTATAGGCCAATGCGTATGCCTAGTTTTGTGTTTCGGGGCCATTCCATGCATCGGGAGCCATGTTTCCATGTTTCGGGATCATTTTGCATCACATTTCAGTACTGAAACTTGCATGTTTGTATGCCATATTCCATGCCTTGCCATGTCTTGTTAGAGTGACATTTGTGCCTTAGGATCGGTCCTCGATTTGCGTGCATGTGTGCACGCATTTCGAGTGTCTCATTTTCATACCATGGCTACTGACGTGAGTGTGGCTGAGGTCTACTCGTGTTGGTGTAAGTCCATCATGCATTGTGTATGCCATTTCAATTCATAGCATTGCATATCCTAGGTTGTATGTTAGAGCATCGTGTATGCCATGTTACATCGCGCATTGTGTATGCCATTTCATAGCATTGTGTATGCTAGGTTGCATGTTAGAATTGCATTCATGCATGTCATGCATATTGCATTGTGCTTGGGATAGGAGTTAGCCCGAGCACAGGAAACGAGGGACGTTTCGTACTTCGAGTGAGGGAACGTGTCTCAATTCCCAGTCACCGACACTCTGGATTATCCATGATGGAGTTTAGGTCTTATTGTGTTTATATGTGCATTCATTTCATATTGAGTCATGCAATTCGACTCCTCGGCCATCATGCATCGATATGCGTGATTGGTGGCACGAGGATCGAGGACTACACTCCCCGAAGCGTAGTCATGCACACATATGTGAAAATACTTTGCCATGCCCCTTTGTTGCTCTCTGTTGCAGCAAATCAGAAATCGGCAGCCTTCCGGAGCTTGGCACGCATCCCAAGAATAATTACAAATAGAAGTAAACCGGGACATCGCGAGGGATTTTCCGACAAAGGCAATCCGAGCATGCATCATTCATTATCTGGAGCAGATTTGAGGCAGTCCTTGGCTTGCATGCCAATTTATTGTTTTCCTAATTTAATTTGTTAATTAATTAGGGTTTTGTACATATTTGGACTGTAATTATTCATTTGGGACTGTATTATTTATTCGGACCCTCCGAGCGAGGGCACAACTGTAATAAGTGTACGTGTGTGTGATGTATGTCTTCCAACCCCACGTCTTTCTTCCTTTTATTTACCTGCTTATGATGGTTAGATTAGGGCATGTTTCAATTAGCATACAATATGATATCATGTTTGCATTCATTCATCTGTTTTGCATACACCGGGCTCGGCGCATCATACTAACTGCATTGTATTTTCAATTCTAAGTTGAATACATGTTAGCTGTAGCATTTCATATGTCATGTTTAGAATAGCCGAGCCTATCTTAGTTGCATTTTTGCATGTGTTGCATTAGGCATTTCTGTATAATTAGGATCATGCATGGATTTCTAATTAGCTTCTGTTTTGACTTGGAGTACTCGGTAAGTTTTTATGCTTTAGCATCCTTGTATGCGTGTGAGTGATTGCCATGAATAGCATGCTTAGCATGGGGCTAATTGCTTATGTGATATAACTGCCTGAATGCCTGTGGGTGAAGGTTGGGTTATTTGAATTGGAACAATTCATCAAATGTGTTTTAAGCCCACTAGATAGTGGCAAAATCATGTTTTCTAAGCCCACCCGAGGGTGGCAAATCCACGTCTTAGCCTACCTGCGAGTAATAATGTCTCAATGGGACTACATAATTAAATGTGGTGTTATCATTTATAAGAAGCCTACCATTTAAGTGATTCAATTTAGTTAATAGGCTTAAGGGTATATGTGTTATGGCCCTAATGTGTAGATACTAGTTGTATAATTTCTATTTCTATGAGGGGCAGAAATAGAAATTAAAACATATTGGTTAAAGTTGGTTTTCATTACCTTTCAGTTTTAAACCAATAATGGTTAATTTATTGGTTTTCATTACCTTTCAGTTTTAAAACCAATAATGGTTAATTTATTGGTTTTCATTGTCTTTCAGTTTTAAACCAATAATGGTAAATTTATTGGTTTTCATTACCTTTCAGTTATGAAAAACCAATTACAACCTTTAAAAGGTTATGGTCCCTATTCCTTCTTAAGGTGGAAAGATAAGAACACCGTTTTGTTTTTCTAAATCCTCTCAAGGAGAAACATAAGGCACCAAAGGGGAAAGGATTAGAAGGCAATAACATAGTCAATATTAAGGTTTTATTGACAATCAGACGCTTCCGTTTAACCGTTCATCGATGGATTCAGGTATTTCATTTTGTCTTGATTTCTTGATGATATACATGGTAGATGATCCGAAACATGAAGTTTTATGTTCTGAAATTTATGTTTACATATCAAACAAAGGCTCATTCACCAAAGATAATCTGTCATTAAAACACTATCAAGCATATCAATTTGCATAAAATACCAAAATAAATCCTCATTAAAATTGCAAGTTTTGCAGGAAAAGGAAGCAATCATAACATCGAGCACAACCAGGGGACAAAACAAAAGCACCATTGAATTCAATTCAACCACATAAATTTTATTTAAAAGTACATCGAAAATTCGTATCTATCACAACAACATATGAAGCACAACAGATGAAAAGAAACCCCACAAAATCAAAAACCCAGTAATGCTAGATATTTTCATGAAAGATTTTTCAATAATTAGATTATATATACAAGAAAAACACCGCATACACTAATCAAAGGATAAAAAATCTTCTTGAAGTATTTCATGGTATTTTTTTTTCATGATGCTTAGGATTATTCTTAACTCTTCCCTCCCAATCGAAAAACCCATTACAATTTGATCAAGTCTCAGAAGAAATCCGAAGAGCTTTAGTCTTGAATCGATACCTGGGAGCCCTAGGGATGGCTTGACTAGGGCCAAGGTGAAACTGGCCTGAGCTGTTGGTGAGAGGAGGACCATCATCGTAGACGTGACCGAGGAGAGAGCCACAGCAATTGCAGTTGATCTTGGTCCTCTTGCGCTGAATTCCCCAGTAATTGAGGGTCTCGAAGAAGGGTTTGAGCTTGTCCTCTGTGAGGAAGGTGAATTTGGTGGTGTCGATGAGAGAGAAAGAGAGAGTGCCTTTGTTGCCGGCCTCGAAGTAGAAGTCTGGAGGGAAGAGGTGGATGGTGTGAAGGTTGAGGTTGGATCCGCAGCCCGTGCAACTGTAGATTGACGCCATTGTTGATGTTTGGCTGGTGAGAAAATTGATCGCAATGGGGAAGAAGGGCAGTGGAAAACGATTGAAATCGCGTTATCGTGAACACCAAGGCGTTGGAATTTCACTTTCAATCGGTATTCAGCTATGAATAAAATTTCCAGCTCATCCTTATCCTTTTCGACCAAGAAAATTTGTCAATTACTTTCCTTTGGGATGTAAGTTAATTTTTTAATTTTTTAATTTTTAGAAGGTTAAAATAACTTATTTAAGAGGAATTTTTTTGATTTTTTAATTTTTATAAAAAAAAATAAATTAATTATCATTTAGATGTGACATTTTACTTATTAATTTTTTAATTTACTTTATTTTTTTATAACTAATATAACCAAAAAAAAAAACTCACCCTAAACATAGCCTTAATCCAAGTTGAAGGATGCATTAGACATTAGGTCCACACATGTTGAAAAGTCTTTAGTGCTGGAAAAGTCATATGAAGGATCTTAGCAATCAGCGAGCAATGACTAATGGCATTAAGTTGAATAGATAAGTAAATAGATAGATGACATGTATACAGATAGTGAAACATTTGAGTAGATAGTCGGATATTTGAACAAATAATTACACAAATAGGTGACGCGTGTTCTAATTTGAATAGATAGTTAGACAGATAGGTGACACATGTACAAATAAACGATATTTGAACAAATAGACAGATAATTAAGTTTTGGGTTAATTACACAAAAAAACTCCAGGGTTTCACGCCTTTTTCATTTTAAACCCTAGGTTTTCAATTTCGACAAATTAAATCTCATTCTTCCATCCCTGTTTTAATTTGTCTCCTCTGTCTATCTCTGTCATATTAAACTAATGGAAATCTCGGCAAAATTTCATATTCAAACCCACATGTCCAAGCATTTGTATCTCCCTCGTTGTAATTTCGTTTCGCCTCATTTTTGTGTTGTTGGATTCACCTCACTTCATAGTTTTCATTCCACCCCCAATACACCTAGGAATGACAATTTGAACCCAGCCCAATGGGACCCGACTTCCTAACCCTAATTTAAGTAGTTTTTCTCCAAAAAATATCCCCAACGTGACGGGGATGGTGTTTAAAAATCAATCCCCGATTAGATTTGGGCCGAGGACGAGGATAAGTGTCTCAGCCCCGTACCCAGCCTATCCCGGTCTCCGTTTGTCCTCGAAGTGAAATTACTAGTTTACCCTTATATATATATAGTAACCAAACCCTCATCCTCTCAGTTCTGTCTTCTATTTGTGTGTGTGTGTGTGTGTATCTCTCTCTCTCTCTCTCTCTCACACTGTTCGCGACACCGATCGTCATCGCGACACCAATCGTCACTGTCTGCGATGTTGATCAGCTTTCTCCGTCGTCCATCACCTCCGTTGTCACAGTCACAGCCACCCATCGCCTCCAAATCTCCGATCGTCCTCCTCCGTCGTCCATCGCCACTGTCTGCGACGCCGATCGTCCTCCTTCGTCCACCATCACCTCCTCCGATCTCCTCCGTCAACCATTGTCGTCAATGGTCTACTCTCTCTCTCTCTCTGTGACACAGATACACAGATCTGTATATGTGTGTATCTGTCCATTTTTGTTTTTGCTAGTGGATCTGTTGATGATGCCGATCGTTCACTTTCTCTCTCTCTCTCTCTCTCTCTCTGTGACACAGATCTCAAATCTGTTTGTGTATCATGTATATCTGTGTGTATCTGCCCATTTTTAAAATTTTTTTTTTTGGTTTATAATCTGTTGATGATTTTGTTGATGATGTTGATGATGATAATGATGTTGTTGTTGTTGATGGTGGTGTGGAAACAGATTTGGGGACGCGGGGAATTTTCAGGGTCGGGGAAACCCGATCCTTGTTAGGAGGAGGAGATAGGGATGGGAACGGTGGTGTGACGCCCCAAAAAAAAATTTTTTTTTTTTTGAAGCATCATAAGATTTAAATAACAATAACTTGCTAGATAAAAATTTTACTACTAATTAGGAAATTTTAAATTTTTACATAGTCAAAGTTCAACAACAAAATAAAACTACAAGTTTACACACAACGTCACAACATTGTTAAATACTATTACAAGAGATAACATGATTTTATTTTGATAAAATCTTGACTCTAAGTTAGCCAAGGTTCGATATTAGTAGCTGCTCCAATTTCAGCCTCAGTCCCTTCTTCGATATAATCTGGCATGAAACGCCAAGGCAATAAAATATATGCCATGAGTTTTGTAACACAATAAGAAAACATAACCAACCTACCATTCTTTTTGAGAGAAAATAATGAGATTATAAACACGAGATAATAATATAATTGTAAACATAAATTACAACTATTAAAATAATTCAAATAATTTTAATAACTTAGGTGACCCTTGAAATCTCACCAAAGAGGTTTAACTAACCAACCACTAAATTATGGCCACGGTTAATTTGGAAACCCCCCCTTGGTCAAATATTCAAGAACTACTAAAGATGCCCATGCCCGGAGTTATATACCCAAGCCGTGACATCTGTGGTCTGCCCCAAGGGAACGATCTATCAGGAGTACGTAACTTTCCTGCGTGCCACCCGCACATCCACCCTAATTCCAAAACCAAATACCGATAAGGGTTCAAATAATCCCCGTGCCATCTTAGGGTTTCGTGACACAATTTACTTAAAAATTATTAAAAACCGGGGCTCACCCTGAATACCCGGTATTAACCTTTTATCAGTAACTTTATATATATACCATTAATCATTTCGGTTAATTTATTTATTAAACACAAATTATTCAAATCTCAATCACCAATAATGATATACCAACTAAAAAAAAAAATCCCAACATTATACATGTCACACAAAATAATTCAATGTACAAAATTTAATAGACAATTAATTTAAACCATGGTATGAACATAATAACTTAGATACAAGAAATAAACCATAATTACACACATGCACAAATTTTTGATTTACAAAATTAGACTAGCACAATATTAAATAAATCACAACACACCCATACATGGATTACTAATTTATAATAGTTGATGGATTAGACCAACACAATATTGAAGTGATGATTTTATCCTGTCTAGAAAATTTCAGATTGTAACTTACGTATTAAAAATTATAAATAAATTATTTACACAATCCTAAAATTCATGCAATTGAACAGAATACTCAATAGGGATGTTTAGGTCACTTTTCAGAAAGAATTTCAGAAAAAGAAAATGTAAATAATCCTGTAAAATTTCCAGCAATTTTTTATGACACAGATTTGTCACATTTCCTTACATTAATACCATGCTTAAATTTATAGATCAAATCCATAATCTAAAAATCTATCATGAAACTAGTCTTCTCAAATTTCGTCTTTTAGTTAGAAATTACCAGATTTGGCTTAGTATAAAATTTTACATAAATTTTCAAATACATAGTAAAATCTGTCTCACAGTTTCAGATTTAGTTAAAATTTTTTATAAATTCGTAGTAAGCTAAAAAATTGTTTCCAAAATTCATGAATGAACTAGACATCATTATCAACAACTTTGTAGAAGAAATTATCTCGAAATTTTGAGTATAAAATTGTCTAAAAATTCAGACAAACATTCTGGCAGATTCAAAACAGATTATTTTCAACACAGTTTCAAATTTAGTTAAAATTTTGAATAAATTTGTAGAAAGCTCAAAAATTGTTGCCAAAATTCCTGGATGAAGTCTACATCATTCTTAATAACTTTGTAGAAGAAATCATCTCGAAATTTTGAGTATAAAATTGTCTAAAAGTTCGAACAAATATTCTGGCAAATTCAAAACAGACAGATTATTTTCAATCTTCTCTTTAAATGTATAAACTACACATGCAAGCTTATTTCTTTACAATAATAAGATGATTTTAAGACTATCAACATCTTCAAACACTTGATATACACATCACAAAATTCCTACACATATATATAAAATTTCTATTTATGAGTAGTCATTTTGATCACAAGAACATAATTTGAAAACTTCACCAATAAAAAGAAATGAGAGGGTTGAGAGAGTTTTCTTACTTAATAGTAGGATTCAAATGGGTGATGAAATGGTAGAAAAATTTTGCTTCCTTAACCTTCCTCTCTTCTTTTCCTTCTACTGAATTTTTTCTTAGTCTCTCCTCACCCATCCAAAGGCATGCATGTGTATACTTATGTCTTCTTTCAGCCTTCATGTGTATATATGTAAATCCTGCTGAGCCTTTCCCCTCTCACTCCCTCTCTCTTTTTCTCTTTCTCATTATGCTCTCCACTACAATTCTCTCTAACCCAAGAATCATGATTTGATGAAATTTTCCAAGCTTACATGCAAGTTAGCAGGTGGCACATCCTACCACCGAGAATCTAATTCTCTCTCTCTCTCTCTCTCTCTCTCTCTCTCTCTCTCTCTCTTCTTTTTTTTTTAACAGTAAATATTGAACATCAATAAATTATTATTCTTAATAAGGTCTTTGTTAGTGATAGAATTGGGTTAATTTAAAACTAATTTTTTTACACTATTATATATTTTAGGTAGATTCTGAATAACATTAATTAATTAACAAATTTATTTATTTTGTTTTGAGAATAATTTAAATATGGGTTTTCACAATCTACCTTCCTAAAAAAAATTTCGTCCTCGAAATTAATTCGTACCTTTAGACTCGAAAAGTTGAGGGTAATTGGCACGTATCATATCTTCTCGCTCTCACGTTGACTCTTCTGTCCCACGATGTCTCCAGAGAACTCGAACCAACGGTATAGGTTTACCTCGTAATTTCTTCTCGCGACGATCTAAAATTTTGACAGGCTTTTCTTCAAATGTCACGTCTTCATCAAGATTAATTTCTTCTCAATTGATGATGTGAGAAGAGTGTGGCTCATATTTTCGTAGTATAGAGACGTGAAAAATATTATGTACTCCAGCTAGTTGAGGTGGTAGAGTCAAACGGTATGCCACTTCTCCTATTTTGTCCAAGATTTCGAAAGGCCCAATGAAGCGAAGTGACAACTTTCCATTCTTTTCGAAACGAACAACTCCTCGGCGAGGCTGTATTTTCAGAAACACATGATCTCTAACTTTAAATGCTAAAGGTCTTCTCCTTTGATTTGCATAGCTTTTCTGC